TACTCCTAATGGTAACTCACTCTTACTTAAGATAAGATAAAGATGAGATTAGATAAAGATAAGGGATAAGGGATAAGATAAGGATAAGGTAAGCTGGCGGCGAGTTGGCTTGATGTGTCCAGATAAGGATGGGCCCACCCCTATGAGCTGTCGTGTGGGTCCCGCTCTGCTGCTGCTGTCGGGTGCGTGCGTGCAGTGCTGCTGCCGCGCAGTGCGTGCGCGCGCCTCATGGTGCCGCTGCCGTGCGTGCGCGCGCCTCATGGTGCCGGGCGTGTGCGTGGTGCGTGCTGCCGTGCAGTACGCGCTGCTGCCTGGTGGTGCATGCTGCGCGCCATGGTGCCGCTGCCGTGTGGTGCCGGGCGTGTGCGCAGTGCATGCTGCCGTACGGTGCACGTTGCTGCCTGGCAGTGCGTGCTGCTGTGCAGCGCTGCCAGGCGGTGCCTGCTGCTGTGCGGCCTGCTGTGCGTGCTGCTGCCTATGACTGCGCCGCAGTGCGCTGCCTATGACTGCGCCGCAGTGCGCTGCCTATGACTGCGCCGCAGTGCGCTGCCGGATGATGTGACCATAACAGAATAGATGCAATGTGACTTTAGTAATATTAGGAGTGCAAACCAGGGTACACTATGTTAGGATTGGAGACCAATAGATAATTCAATTTGACCTATTCCATTACCTTGGTTCAATAATTCATAACAAAGGAGAGAATGAGGAGGATGTCGTCCATAGAACTAGAGCAAGATGGATAAAATGGAGAGGTGTATCCAGAGTTTTGAGGTCAATATAACCCATTTCTTCCTCCAAATCTATTTCCTCAAACTCCCTTAAGTTCAAACGTACTCAAAAACTAATTAAACTTCCTCATGCTTGTCGTTACTCTTTGCCTCAAGTTATTCCTCTGTGAATCTGATTACATTGAAATATCCTCTTATGCTCCAAGGTCTTTCCCATAACCTTTTAATATCCCCCTATTCTTCCCACATTTCATTTCTCTCCCTATAACCATTGGGACCATATAGATTTGTCAACACCCACTCAAAACCATCCTCCACTTGTCTAAATTTAATGGACACTAAGAAATTACCAACAAGTTCTTCAATGCCTATGAGCACTTCACTTGCCCACATTGTCACTAAATCCCTTGAGGATCCCCAAGATGGTACCATTGCCCATTTAATCCCCCTAGCCTTCGAAATGCTTCTAGCCCATCTATTATCAAATTTTGCCAATTTAGATTCTGGAATTAAAACCACATCCGGGTTTGCTTTTGCAATCACCTCCTTTATTAATGATCTCTTCCTCGCATTCCTTAGACCTCTCACTTTCCAACTTATTTTTTTTCATTGTTAACTTGCTTCTATTTTACCCTCCTGCTGTTGACCTCTTATGTATTCCCTTTCTTCCTTTTCCTTCTTCCACCAAGCTTCTTGTCCCCTTCCACATCCATCCTCAGTCTTTTAGCTTCACTCAATTTTCTCTTCCTCATCATACTCTCTTCCTTCTTTTTGTTCAAGAAAACTTTCAAGTCATTTGGATCCTTCAATTTACATCCAAACTTTCCTTCAAAATCAGCCACGGAATCCTCTTTGCTAGTTTCTACGCTCTCTTCCCCTCTATTCTCTCTTCTGTCCTTCTCTAACTCTATTCCTCCCTCAGTTACCTTAACTCTTTCATTTGCCTTGCCTATTTTTTCCTTGTGCATTTCCTTCATTTTTAATTCTTCCAACAGTACCTCAATAAGTTCCCAAATTCTTTTGTCCCTCTCTATTTCTTCTTCTGAAGGCATTACTTCCTTTCTCCTCATCACCTCCCCAACATTTCCAGTATCACCATTAGCTCTATCATGGGCTTGTAGCTATGTATTGGATGAGAATCTGGAGCAGAAGCATCAACACAGAGCAAAGATTAGTAGCTAAAAGCTAAAACTGAATTGACGAAGTTAGCCGGGCTCTAACAAAGGGGGGCTCAATCCATTGATTGCTTCCCATCTCTTTATCAATCCATTGATTGCTTCCCATAGCTTGTTGTTTTACCTATCTAATACATTCCTGTTCAGTCTTTAGTGATCCTCGGCTATTTCCTTACAGATACCTTGCTTAGTATTTTTATTTGGCCCTGGTAACTCTTTGTCCACGCTTCAGTTCATCTCCCCATCAGCCTTACTGTGCATCGCGGTATTTGCTTCTGCTACTTCATCAATTGGACCCAAAAAAACTTGTAATTTCTCTCCTTTCTCTTCTGCATGAAAGTACCTCTAATTTAGAGTCTCCCCTACAATGCTTTCAATTTGAGCAACTTCCCCACACTCTCAAGGCTAGAGTCTAAATCTGAATCTAAGTCTTCTTCTTCCACCGAACTGCAATCCACCCAACCAACATCTTCATCACATTCTTCCAATCAAACAGTAGTGTACCTTGGATTAGGGCAATCGATAACAGAAATTTTAGCACTATCATATTGCGCATCTGTCCTTGGAACCCACTGTAAAGAGAATCTTTGGGAATCGGTGTCATCTTTCCATTCTTTTTGGGAAGATGATAGATGGTAAATCCTGTGGCCAACCAAGCCCTTCTCTTGGCTCACATGATGACTTAAGTTGTCATGTGAACTGGTTTTTTCTTTACCCAGTTTAGCCCTTAAGTTGGGGATCCTTCCAGTTGGTTCGGATAATGCTCCCCTCTAAACTGCTTTAGTTTCAAATGGTCCCCATCTCACATTGAAGTGGGTACCTTTTTTTAACCACATCAGCAAAAGAATTAACTCCTGCCCCTTTCTCTCTTTTTTCAAAACATTTTGAAATTACTTATATATTAAGCAAAAACACCATTTGAACCTCCTTTGTAGACTGTTCAGCTTCCTCATTCACTAAAATCTTTGCACATCTCCTCTTGTCCTCTCCTCCATGTGTGCACCACATTGCCAGGTCACCATCGTCTTCAACCTTGGAACCGCCTCTCCAGAAGGACGCTTTGATTTCTAAAGTCAACCACACTTTATTCCAGACACCATCTGAGAGAACACCAATGGATCAAGGGATGTTCTCAGGTTTCACCCATACAATCCAAAGATTTGCAGCATACAAGTCTCTCAGATTCAAATCTTCAACTATACCTCCCAAGGATTTTGCGATTCTTCAAGGACTGACTCATTCCGTAAAGGGAACAGGAGTCCTAGCAATACCTCCTTTTACAATCTTCTCTTTTCACGAAGGAGTCCATCTTTGCACCAGAACTAGACCTTGCTCTGGCTCAGTTTGGAAGGAGTACAAATGCAAATATGTACAGTACAAATACATAAAAAATAATACAAAATATAAGGTTTTACACTCTACATATTTGTATTTGTACTCCTTTCAAACTGAGCTTTCTTGTCATCATAAACTCTATTTCTTCTTCCCCACATCAAATACAGCTTTTTTCTTGTCATAAAATGGCATGAGAATAGCATTGGTTTCTATCCCCAATTTTTCCACCACAATGTTTAAAATGTTCCTCCATTCTTTAATTTCAAAACCTGCAGTTAAAATCAATCGGTGTTCCCATTCTCCTCTTTCCAATTCTATCATCAGTTTCTGTATTGTGTTCGAACTGGTCACTAAGATTTTAGGGGGTATTGTTGCCTGATCTTCACCACTAGCAGTTTTCACCTCCTTTTCATTTTGAATGAAATTATCTGGCTAATTAGATGACTCTTGGTCCTTACCTTTTCATCAACATTTTGTCACTTCACTGTACTCCCTGCCACTAACTGAAGAAATGCTTCTTATTTATCTGCAAGATAGAAAAGGCTTGTAATTATCAAAAAAGATAGAAAAGGCTTGTAGCACTAGTTCTTTCATTCCCAGTTATTGTAGTTCTTTTCTTGTTTTTCCTTCTTTAGTAACCCTTTGGCTGCTACCATCCAGATAAACATGGCAAGAAAAATAAGCATATGTTGATTCTTTTCCATTTAAGATAGGCACAATTTGTATTTTCCATCCCTTTTTCATTTGTTCAAGACAGATTTTTCTGCAAAGAGCCTGCTTGGTAATCTCCTTTGATTGCAAATAAACCATTGAAGTCCAGGTGGATGGTCAGATAAATTTACCCCATCATTCGTTTTCTGAATGGAGTTTATTCATTCTTTTTAGTAAAAAGGCCATTACCCAATTTCGGCCCCAGTTATCTGGGGTCTTGGGACGTGTAGATTGGATATGGACCTAAACTCTCGCATTTTTTGCACAAGTTGGTGCTCTTAAACTTGGAACATATGTTCTTTTTAGTAACATCAATGAATTGATCTTCTTGATTTGTTTTTTATCTTCCATTTTCCTTGTGTAAGATATATCTGGTTTTAAGTATGTATCAAGTAATAATTTTCTCATGTATTTTTTTGTGTTTCAGGTTGATCTGGTAGGAGGGTAAATATGTATGAACAATTTTAGAATTAAAGGTCCATCAATTGCATTGTGCCGTGACCAAGTAGTTGAGATGGTCATTTGGTGCCCCTCCTCCTAATACAAACACATGATATCAAATCAAACCTCCGTAACTGCAGGCTCTCTATGGTAAGGTCAGTGGATCTGACGTGCATCCTACTCTGTCCCCACCCCTAAATCCCCTGTAATGTGTAATATGTAATTAAAAAATAAAAAAAAGGACATGCAGGATGTCACCAAAAAACGGAAAATAGAGAGAAAATTACACCATTGGCCATTGAGCAACAATTATCACACGAGAAATGTTTTTTTTTCAGCGTATATATAATCTCTCTATCTGTGGACTTACTATAAAATTATGAATTATCAAGTTCATTTTTATTTCCACTAGTTTTTCTCAATGCTTTCTGGACTACAGCATAAAACCCATAACTTTTTTTATCCTACAAAATTCTTTTGTTAAGTAGATCCAACGATAAGTAGGGATATGTTGGTCCAAATATATATTTTTGCTTGATCTTATTTCGATTTTTTTTTCTTTTTTGTGATTTATGATTTTTTATGGATTTTTTTTTTATTAGAAGGGATGAGATTGGGTAAGTGTTAATGACCTCTCAGGATCAGAAAAATGCAAAGTTTGTTTAGTTTTGCACTGACAATTTTGTATTCTTGCATTTTGAGTAAAAAAGTTAGCATCAATTTGAATGCAAGCATTCTTATAATCAGTATGAAGTGCTACATTAGCTCTAATTATTTCTACCCTTTTGCTTCTAGCTTATCATTCGCATGAAGCGCCACTGGAGAAGAAAAGGTTGAGATTGGGCTACTGAGAAGCCCAAGAATAACTACTGTCCTTGCTGCTGGGGGTCGTGGTGGCGGTGGCATCGGCAGCTCCGGTGGTGGTAGGGGTGGTTCTCGAGGTGGTGATTCTCATGCAAGTAGCGCAGGTTGCTTTCCCTTGACTGATGCGTTTTCTGTAGCGATCATATTGGCCATACTATGATAATTTAGCTTATATATTTGGAATGTTACATTAGAAGTGACAGATTGAGTTTTTTAATAAGAGAATATTTATAGGTTAATAAGAAGGGTTGGCCATTTACCATCCTCTCCCTCTCAAATTTCGGCCCCAACTGTAGTTTAAGCCAAGAACTTTTAAGGCGTCGTTTGTTTTTCATTATCTGGATGATGTGCTTATTTGCTCGAGTAAATTTTGGTGGCAGTGTTCAGTGGCACTTTCACTTAGGTTTTCCGTGGGTGGATGAGTAACTTATCCATCCTTCAGGAGAGTATCGGTTGCCCAGGTAGTGTACTCTCTGTTAGCGGTGAGATTTGATCGGAGAAAAACTCCCATACATCAATTTTATACTTTGCACTCTTTGCATGTAAAATACTTATACAAAGAATAAATAACTACCATTTAACAGCAATTTAACTTTTTGAATCCATAAAACCTGCAATCCATGGCATCCTCTTTCTGGCCAGTCAAAAACTTTTGGGAATTTTTTTCAAGAAAATCCTAATTATTTTTTTTTCATTCTTTCTGATTCTCTGAACAACCAAATATTGCCTCTAATTACTTGCTTTTGGAATATGTACAATAAGAATCTATAGACTTTTGAAACAATATATAAATCATCCCTTATCGGAATGACACAGCAAACGAATTAGGGGAGAGGAAGGAAAGTATAAGAAAGCAGGAACCAGTGGCTTTAATAGCTTTATAGCTAGTTGTAACTTTCTTTCCTACTCAATTAATTATTCTTTTCAATATCATTCCGAATGTTAAATCATCCAGGAAATTTATTTTAGAAGCCAATCATCAAGGAAATTAAAGGTTCTTATATTCTTATCATGTTAAGCCTTTGTGTGGGTGGATGATACATACAGAATTTTTGTGGGGTCTGCCCATATCTATTTTTCTCTTCTTTCCACTAGGGGATCCATTATTGTACCATATGGCTCAACCAGATTCCTTAAAAAAATGTAAAGGAGGTGAAAAGTATTTGAGCATATCTCACATATTTTTTATAAATAGGGTATATATAGGGGTGTCAATTGGACTGGATTTGGTCCAATCCGATCTTAGTCTAATGTGAATCCATTATAAATGAACCATGTCCAATTCAATCCAATGAATATTTTGGATCAATTTGGACCGGCCCAATTCAATGTTTGGACCATTCAATCTGTTCAAATTCATTTTGATTTAGATTGGTTTCAGCCCAAACCCAGTGCATTAATACATATATTTTTATCTTACATCAATGGACCAGATATTGGCTTAACCCAACCCAATCCAATATAAATTTGTTAAGGACGGATCAGGTCCAATCCAATCTAATAAATATTTTGGACCGGATTGGTCCAATCCAATATATCTTGTTGGTCTATCCAATCTATCCAAGGCCCTATTTAAGAACACTTAAAAAAAATACTTCTTTTAAGACATGGGACCACACATTAAGTGGTTTTTAAGTACTTATGAGTGTTTGTTAAAAAAGGGGGAAAGATGTACTTTTTTGAAAAAGTGACTTCAAGTTGGCTTTTTTTAAGTACTCCCTAATAAAATTTTATAATACCTAAAATACCCCCACGCAACATTTACTTTCATTCTTCCTCTCTCCTTCTCTCTTACCCATCCTGATCACCCCCCTCTATTCCCTAACAAGATAAAAGGATATATTCACCCCTGTTCATCGTCTTCTTGACGAGAATAGGGGAGTTGCAGTGGCGACAACCTCCCCCCTCTGATCTATTCTTTTTTTTTTATCCCTTTTCATCATTTTCTCTCTCTCCTTCTATTTATCAGCTCCCCCTTTATCTCGTCCCTCCACTTTGTCTCCATCCACTTCCAAAGGTCGTCTTCGTAGCCGCAAGGAGTTGCAGTAGCCTATTCGAATAGCAGCTGCGTCCGTGCCGTTCAAAAACGGGAATCCGATGTCATAAACCAATCAAAACTCTTCGGTTTTCAAAAACGGGAATCAGCTCCCCCTCTCTCTCTCGTCTTCCCCTAGTTGATTAGTTATTATTCAAGCAAGGGAACCGTTGAAACTCGATGATGAGCAGATTGCAGAACTGAGGGAGATCTTTTGATCATTTGATCAGAACAATGATGACAGCCTAACCCAGCTTGAGCTTGGGTCATTATTGAGATCACTTGGACTCAAGCCGAGTCAGGATCAGCTCGACGCTCTAATCCAGAGGGCTGATATGAACAACAATGGTTTTGTTGAAATCTCTGAATTCGTCGCCCAGGTGTCGCCGGATCCTCACTATGAAATCTCCATACACAGAAGAGCAACTCTGGCAGCTATTCCGGATGTTTGACCGTGATGACAATGGATACATTACAACGGCAGAATTGGCCCATTCTATGGCCAAGCTTGGTCATGCCCTTACGGCAATGGAATTGACAAGAATGATTAAGGAGGCTGACACTAATGGTGATGGCTGTAATAACTTCCAGGAATTCTCTTAGGATATCACTGCTGCCGCTTTTGACAACTCATGGACTCGAAAGCATTTTCCAGAGAAAAATGCGATTACGTGGACTTGCTTGATATCTGGCTATACCCATCAGCACATGCCTGATGAAGCATGTGCTCTTTTGCACTTGATGAGGTGGAAATGGGAATCCAAGAATTTTGTGAAGGTTGTTAATCGGAGGAGTCTTTCTCTATTGTCCAATCTACAGTCCCAACAATTCTGACAGTTCCGGTGACGAAAATGAGAAGGAGGAGAGTCTGAGTAATGTACAGTGAAGAGTAAAATTGTCATTTGTGACAATATAAGTACTTATGGGGAAAGTAGTTTACCAAACATCTCCATCCCAATAAGTGCTTAAAAACATAATAAATGATTTAAAAAGTGGGTTACCAAACAGACTTAAGTGATTGTTAAAATAAGTACTTCTTTTAACAAATACATAATCATCAAATAGGGCCCAAATTGATTTTGGATTGGACGAGATCCAATCCAAAACCGGTCCATTGACACCCTTAGGTACATATCCATATTTTAATATTTTTACAATTAACAATACTTTGTTTTGCCTTTCCATTAAGGCCCAGTTCGCTTTTGAGATTTTGAAGGTGGGGAAAATTAGTCAATGATATTATGGTTCCTGATGATGCACAATCCGGTCGATCTTAACTGTCAACGATCTTGCCTCTGAACCGGGTGCCAAATTTCCCTTCATCAGTTCCCATTGACCAATTTACCTGCATTCTTATTTTAAAAACGTGTGGGATTCATGGCAAAATTGATTTTCTCAGGTATTAAAAGAGATGGAATTGGGAGATTGGGGAACCCAATATTCTATCTTGCACCATATACTTGGCTCAACCAATTCCATGGTGGATACTACATTTTTTTTTTAGTACAGAAGATCCTTACAAACAATGTTATAAATAAATTCGGGAGGTCTTGATCAGTGGTCGTATGAACAGATCTATTATAACAAGTAGGTAGCCCATGGGAGATGACATAAGAAAAGAAGAGAGACTGAAGCCTCTTGAATTAATCCGCGATAATATCACATATCTACTGATGTGGCTCGAGCTAATCCAACAAAATAATCCAAAATATTCATTGGATAAGATTGGACCTGATCCATCTATAATGGGTTTATATTAGATCGACCGGATTGGACCAAATTCAATCCAATTGGCATCCCTACTTATAAACAAAAAAAAGAAGGCATGAACACTTATATAATGCTGGAGTCCAAGGATTAGGTGGATAATTGATGGGAGAAAATGATGCACAAGAAAGAGCATGTTAAAGTTCAAAAATTCATACGAAAGAAAGAATTCAAATTTCCATTAATCATCAGATGTCCATTTAAACTTATGTTCTTGTATTTCGATCAAAATTCTATTAAGTTTCCGTTTGGGAAGAGTGTAAATACAGTGCAAATATATCTACATTTGCATTTTTGTATTTCAATTTTGCACTAAACATATCTGTATTTGCACTCTTCCCAAATGAAGTTTAAATGACATAATTTTAGGCTGTGTTTGGTTTGAAAGAAAAGGTAGAGAAATCTATACAAGATTTGTTAAGGTTTTCTTACCTTTTCCTTTCAAATCAAACACACCATTAAGGATTCAACAAGTATATCATAAAAGTGATAAACAATCAGATGGTATATATTCATCAAATTTCACGCCCGGGGGGAGGGGGTGAAGGGGGCTCATTGGTCAAAGCTCTTTCAGTATCATACCTTTCCGGCATCATAGAAAATCTTTGAGAAAGAGCTGCCTTGTACAAAGTAAAAGATGTAGTTGAAAGAGCTACCAATTGTTAGAATGAGAACTACTAGACAAGGGAACCAAAGTGAGATCCATCAGGGCTGTAGAAGCATGGTGGTATGTAATGGCCCTAAAGATTAAACAACTTTGGCTAGCTTGAATATATAACCATTTTAGGTATTTAATAATCTCTTTTATCATATATAACCACTTTAGGTTACCTTTAGTATCTTCAAGTATTCACTAAATTAGGATCTGCCCTCTTCTCAAGTTTAAAAAAGAAAAAAAAGGAGTAGAGATGATCTTGTGTCCCATTAGGTTGGACTCCAAGTTAATGATTTAAAATATAACATATTAATATATAGAGTTCGACAATGATACTAGAAATTAAGATGGTCTCTATGATAAAGTGGCAATGGAGATGCAGTTGGTGACAGCTCCTCAGAGGATGTCTTCTCAATGTCCTGGATTGAATTCAAATTTCGAATTGATCCCAGTAGAAGCTAGACAGGATCTGTTACTCACACAGGGCGCCTCACACCAATTTCACATGCACATCCTATCATGCATTGGGAAATCTCCCATACTTATAAATTATTATTCATAGAAGATGTTCCCAATGCATAGTGGATGTGCCTGTGAGGCGCCCATGTGTGAGGAGCAAATCCCGTCTTAGAAGAAGTGGGGTCTTTTGCTCGAATCAAACCAACCAAAATTGCTTCATCCTTGCTACTTCTCTTAGCAACTAACTACACGGTACGTCCCATACATGTTGAAAAAGAGCCAAGTAGAAAGGAAAAATCTATAATGTTAGAAAAACATGAAATCGAAAAAGCTTTCACCAATCAAAAC